CCCACCCCCACCCCACACACACACACACACACACACACACACACACACACACACACACACACACACACACACACACACACACACTGTTGTCGCAGAGACTCCCTCTTTCCAGAGGGAATCTAACGGGACGTTTCCTCTCACCTTTCAGACACCTGTCGTCATGCGGCATTCTGATGACCAGAACTCCCAGAATGCTTTGCTTTCAGGACACGATGACGACGGTTCCTCCGAGCAGAAACTTCCTCAGCTTCACCAACAAGAGGAAGGAGTACTCAGAGCGCAGGATACTCGGGTAATTCATCCACAACGACATTATTACTCATTTAAATTGAGCGTTATTGATTACTATGTTAGTCCTTTCTTTACATTCTTATTTTTAAATCTTTATTTATTTTATTATTGTATTATTTATTTGTTATTATTTTGTTATTCTTACTTAATTAATTAAATTTATTATTATTATTTTATTATTTATTTTATTCTTATTTTATTTATTTATGGTTTTGTTCTTATTTTTTATATTTTTTAATTCCTTATTATTCTTATTTTATTTATATATTAACATTTATAATTCTTGTTTTATTCCATCCTTTGTTTATTGACTTCTGTTGTTGTTTATATTTTTGTGTATCCAAAGGCCTGTATAAATAAAGTTATATGTATTTGAATCCTATTGTGCACTCCTCAGCTTCTCGATGCAGGAGATGTACGACGTGGTGGCCAACGTGGACGACTACAAACACTTCGTCCCGTGGTGCAAGAAGTCCACGACCGTCATGAAGAGAGCGGGGCACGCCAAGGCTCAGCTGGAGGTGGGCTTCCCCCCCGTGGTGGAGCGCTACACCTCCATGATCACCAACGTGAGGCCGCACCTGGTCAAGGTGAGTCCTGCAGAGCAACGCAGCTGCTGCTGCTTCAAGGTTCAAGGCTTTCATTGCCATGTGTGCAGAGCTACAGTGTGACAAGGAAGCTCTGAGGTCACAGGCTCCTCCTCCAACACAATAACACAGATACCATGGTGCAAGTAAATACAAATAAAATACAATAGAAATAGTGCAAGAATAGTCAATATCGAAGAGACGTGTGTAGAGAGTTAAAGAAACTTGATCAAATATATAAACACTAGGGATGCCCCGATCTACAAGCAGGTGTAAGTCTTAACCCTAACGCGACGTCTCCCGCTCACCGAGCAAAACGTAAACACCGGAGCATTTTACCGATGTGCCGATGGGGGGGAAAGGTGTGTGTACACGGATGTATCGTGCATCCCTAGTAGGGCTGCACGATATTGGAAAGAACTGACATTGCGATATTTTCTTCCCCTGCGATACGAAAAATACAGGAATTGAAGAAAAGACAGTCAAACCATCCTTTCTTGAACTTTAATTCGAGACGATTGGAATTTTTTTTAACGATATTTAACCGGATGAAGGATTTTAATCACGGACGTCTGGATCTTAAGTTATCAGAGCAACAAGCTGAGCTAGCTCGGTTGTCCTGCTGTGATCTGATCAAGAATGGTTTTGATTGGTGGTTTGCTGTCACTCACTCCAGCTAACCCCGACATGAGAGCTGTGCGGGTTTTCCCTTTGTAGCAAGCAGCAAAA